TTAGGAGGCCGAGGCAGGCGGATCACTTGAAGTCAGGAGTTGGAGACCAGCCTGGCCAATATGGTGAAACCCCGTCTCTACTAAAAATACAAAAATTAGCTGGGGGTGGTGGTACAGACCTGTAATCCCAGCTACTCAGAAGGCTGAGGCAGGAGAATCACTTGAACCCGGCAGGCGGAGGTTGCAGTGAACTGAGATGGTGCCACTGCACTCCAGCCTGGGCAGCAGAGCGAGACTCCATCTCAAAAAAGAAAAAACGAATTATTATTGCACAATTACTTACACATAAGACTAGTATCACAACCATTAGGGCGTGGGATTTAAATTCTTCTTCTGGAAGCCTGCTTTTTAACACCATTCCCCTGTGACAAGTTTCATGCTGGCAGCTGAGCTCGGGAACATACGTGTGGAAGTCCTGAGGGTCAAGCTCACTGGTCCATGCAGTATATCCGATAACTCTCGCCTCTCTAATAACAGCTTTAAACAGTCCAATATGCCAGTGTTTCATTAAAATAAGCCACCAAACTGTATAGTGTGAAAAATGACAGTTCATGCATCATAGGAAAATGACCCACAGTAACGAGAGGGTTAAAGGCACGTGCATGCACGCGCACACACATGTGAATGCACACGGAAATGCTTTCTCAACACTTTTATATGAGAATTACCTTTTATGAAAGAAGGTGTAAATACTCTCAGTAGTTGAGTACTGTGCAACCTACCGAAAGCACACACTCAGACAAACAAACGGGCACATTCCCATTGCTGTAGAGACACAGGGCAGTCTGCAGAGCCCTGGATTAGCAGGCGGCTCAGTGGCTACCCTCACACGATCACAGGCAACTTAGGGAATGGCTCATCTCAGTTTTCTCCTTGGTGAAATGGAGATAATACCATTCAACCTGAAGGGCTGTTGCAGAAACTAAATAAACTAATATATGGAATGGAAAGCCCTACCACGGGGCCTGGCACATAGAAGGTACTTTATAGTATCAGAAAAGTCATTACTTAAAATGCCCACTTACCATTAAAAAAAAAAAAACAAAAACCCCTTTTGTTCCTGGTTTCACGTAACAATATTCAAATTCACAATCTGGAATCTAAGACTTTTCACACATATAAATGGGGCACTGTCTCATCCTTCTGACAAGGCACCTGCGGCCTGCAGTCAGTCTCTACAGCTAAGGAGGCTGGTAGGGCCCAACCACATGGCCAGGCGCAGAAGCCCTCCTCCTGTTATTTGAATGAGTACCTCCATCACACCCCATTTCCCAGCGGTTTCACCCTCAGTCTTGGAGCACTCTCTCTATGGCTACTTTACTTCTGTCCCCAGATAGGCAGAGCGCTCTCTCTCTTTGTCTCTCTCTCTCTGTTTTAGACAGGGTCTCACTCTATCACCCAGGCTGGAGCGCAGTGACATGATCACAGCTCACTGCAGCCTCGAACTCCTGGCCTTAAGCAATCCTTCTATCTCAGCCTCCCGAGTGGCTGGGACTACAGGTGTTCACCACTGTGCCCTGCTATTTTTTAAAAAAATTTTTTATAGTGATGGGGTCACACTATGTTGCCTAGGCTAATCTCAAACTCTTGGGCTCAAATGATCCTCCCGCCTCGGCCTCCCAAAATGTTGGGATTACAGGCATGAGCCACCCTGCCTGGCCCAGAGTTCTCTCTAAGTAATTATCTCCTTTTTTCCCATCAGAGCCTTTTTCCCATCATACCGTTTTCTGCATAACTAAGTTTCTTCATGACTCACTCCCTCAATCTCACACCAATTACAATGCCTGCACCCCACTGACCTGAATAGTCTCTTTCCGCAGAAACAATTGCTTCCTGCTCACTAACCCATGGCTTTTCTGGAGCCCGAAGCCTCCAGGACTTCTCCTGAGTCTCTAAGATGGGGTTTCCTCTACCAGTGTCTTTGCTTCACTCTCTCTCCTTGCCTGCCTCTTCCTCTTCCTTCCCCTCCACTGTTCCTAAGAACTCAGCTCTGCTCAACCATGTCAAGGCCTCAATGACGCCAACCTGTCTGTCACTCTCAACTGCAGAATTGCGTTTCTATCTCCAGCATCTCAGCCAACCTCCAGCCCTGTACTTCCAACACTGCTCACAAATTCTCCCTCAGTCACTCTAGGGTGAGTTTCTGAAGAACCTTCTTTTCCAGCCTGGGCAACATAGTGAGACCTCATCCCTAAAAAAATAAAAATAAAAAACTAGCAGGATGCAGTGACTTGTGCTTGTAATCCCAGCTACTCAGGAGGCTGAGCTGGGAGGATCGCTTGAGCTCGAGAGTTAGAGGTTGCAGTGAACTATGATGGCGCCACTGCACCCCAGCCTGGGTGACACGGTGAGACCCTGTCTCTAAAAAACAATAATAATAAAAAACTCAACTTTCCTTCCACAGGTCCCAGGTGACTCAGGCTTCTGGATTCCTCAGAAAAAAATTGAGCAATTCCATGTGAAACAGCCATTCCTCCTTGTTAAGTATAAAAAGAAAGCTCCTTTCTTTGTCTTCATTCATCCACCAATTCTCCAAACTTAGGGGCTGGACACGGTGGCTCACGCTTATAATCCTAGTACTTTAGCAGGCTGAGGCGGGCCAATTGCCTGAGCTCAAGTTCGAGACCAGCCTGGCCAACATGTTGAAACCCTGTCTCTACTAAAAATACAAAAAAAAAAAAAAAATAGCTGGACATGGTGGCACGCACCTGTAGTCCCAGCTACTCGGGAGGCTGAGGAATGAGAATTGCTTGAACACAGGAGGCAGAGGTTGCAGTGAGCCAAGATCACACCACTGCATCCCAGCCTGGGTGACAGTGCGAGATTCCGTCTCAAACAAACAAACAAAAAAGAAACCTTAGGAAGCATTCCTCAGTTGAAAAATAAGGTAAACCATTCAGTCCCATCCCTAAAGATACTGAAAAAGGTTAAGACTGAATTTACTGCTGAAACTAAGGTCAAGATTTTCAAGTTCATCAACTCAGTCTGTCTTTGTTTCTTAAACTTCACATTTACAGTACAGTACTTAAAATGTAAAAATGCACTTGAATTGTTTACATGGTTATTACTGAAGAAAAACACCCAGGTCACTTATTTTGGCTTCATTTAATAAAACAACAGAAACATCTGTCATTTTTTGTAACAATTCTGTTGTCCTACTCACTGGGTGGCAAAAATGCACTCCCACTGCCTTGCATTAACCTGCTAATCTGGAGGCGATTCACTCCCCACTGACAACCAAGTTTCACTGAGTTTTGGTCAAATAGAACAATTAAATCACCCTTTGGTTTTCCAAGCAGCTAGAATAATTTGAGAAAACAAAAAACAAGCCATCTTTTAAACAAAAATGCATTACCTCCCGAAATGAAAAATTCATTTATCTCCAAATTGTCACCAGTAAGTTTTACGGTTATAGCAAGCCACAACATGCAGTTCTTGTATAAGATGAATAAAATATTCCTGACTAATAACTCAATTCTAATTTTAAACAAATGCATTCAAACGGAGTTGAATACTTAATTTGTATCACTCCCACAAGGTATAAAAACCTTGCTTGGTTCTGATGTCACTGACTGCTGGCCGTAGACGATGAGGTCTCAATCTTCCTAAGAGATTAAGGTCGGATGATAGTACCTTCTCTCTCTGACAATGTATCCAACTCAAAGAGACAGCCTAGCTGGGCATTCAATTTCAGCATTTTCCAGTGTACATTAGGAAGTGGGGACCTCGTCTAAGTTTCTGTTTTGCTTTGTTTTTGCCAAGCAGGAATTAGCTGAACCCTGTTGGCAGCTCCTCCAGCAGCCCACGTGGGGTAGACCCAGCGACCACTTCCCACAGGACTTCAGGCTCACGTACTGTTTTCTGGAATAAGATTTCCTGCAGTACAAGTTCCAGTCTGTCCCTTGGTTTGGCCAAAGACAGATCCGCCTACTGACTATTCTCTGCTATAATGACAACTGTGCTCTAAGACAAACAACTTATTCTTAGTGGGAAACAATTAATTTCAGCCATCCCATGTGCTCCTCAACAGCCATTTATTCACATTGGCCCATCTTCCGATATCAGACTGACACAAAACCCCAAAGACTTGCCCGATGACAATGGAATGAGTGTCATGCATTTAACGGCATTTGTACTTTATTGCATTGCTTCCTGCTTGTTTGTTTAAGATGGTGAAATCTTTATAAGCAAAGAGATGATTAATTCTTCCCCGTCTTTAACGGCCATTCTCTTCCACAATCTCTAGCGAATCTCCGAATCTTAAGTTGCGGGGAGGTATGTTGGGGAACCACACTTTTAAGCAGTGTTCCTGAGGTTTTAGCTCAGACATCTTACAAGATTGGAAGATTCCGTTTTATGGGGACATATGGACAGAACTCACTTGTTTTAGAGCACTACTTAGCCAAACCTCTCAGCGAATCCTACATTGAAAAGTCTTTAGCAGTATACATTTTGGAATCTTCTGTGTGCCCCAGAACACACAATATGGATCTAATTAGATTCAGCTGCCTTATGTTAGAAACAAACATTGAAAGGAAAAAAACAGAAGTGGAAGTGGGAGCTGTGTTCATCCTCTCGTATGCCACCGCGACCCCACACTCCCAAGGCGTGCGCATCCTACCCGCTCACTCGGGCAGCACACGCTCCCTAAACACCCCAGCGTGGCCCGTGCCCCGCGCAGCGCTCTGAGCGCTTTGCCGCTGCTGGGTTTTCACCGGATCTGGAAGAGATTTACGGGAGGACTGGAGCCCAGCGCGGCAACCCCACCCCACCCCCACCGCCCCGGCCCGGGCGCGCCCCGCCCGCTCCCCGGCTCCAGGACTTACACCAGCGCGGACGGACAGGGCATCTGGTTCCAGGCACAGTTGTACTGAGCCTGAATAAAACTCTCACTTCCCTCCAGCACAGAGCAGCTCACATTCTTGTTCACGATGTAGGCGCACCAGTTCCTGGGGTGCAGGAGAGAGAGGGAGAAGGGCACGGTGTAAACCTGGAGAACAATGAGGCCAGGGGAGAGGGGACGGCAGCCCCAGACCGAGCGAGGGTCGGGGGGAGGGCCGTCGCCCTCTGCGGAGGCGGGAGCTTCACAGAGCAGATGCCGGAGGGTGCCCGGGTGCGCCTCTGGAGAGCGCGCGCCTGGACCCGACCAAGACGGGAAAGAAAAGCACTCACGGTCCCAGGGGCTCCTGGAATTCCTGGGAGTCGTTTTCGGACCACCCGGGTCTGCGGGACACTCAGCGCCCACGCCCCCGGAGTCAGCTCTGCCTGAGGCGCCGGCGGCGCAGCGCGCGGTCACCCAGAGAAGGAGCCGCCCGGGGAAATCCAAGGGAGACCCCCGGCTGCCGCTTGTCGTCTTTGGCAGGGCAGCTCCAGGGCTCGACTAGGGGCCGGGGAGGGGTAGGCGGTTTGGGGCCAGCAGAGGGGCGCGCACTTACTTGTTCCTAGCGCTGGGCCGCGCGGGATACCCGGGCTGCGGGCCGGCATGGCACAGCCCCGCGCAGCCCAGGGCCAGCAGCACCAGCGCCCAGCGCCAGGGCGCGCGGGGCCAGGGCTGTGTCGGCTGCCACATCCTGCGCGCAGCGGGCGCTTCCCGCCTGCCCGGGTCCGGAGCGCGGCGGATCGGGGCACCGGCCACAAGGCTGCTGGCGGCCAGGGCGCCGCCCGCGAAGGCAGAAGGCTCGGGCGCTTCGCGGCGCTCCAACCCGCGCTCTGCGGCCGCCCCCTCCGGCTTCTCGTTCCTACTTCTCCTTTTCCAGCCCCGTGCGCCCTGCGCTTCTCCTCGGTCCCTCAATGACGCACAGGTCCCCCCGGGTGCCGCCCTCTTTATTTCACTTCCCTCTCCGAAACGTGACTCTCCCTCCACCACGTCTCCCTGTCTCCAGTCCCTTCGCTTCTCGGCAGGGGGCTTGGGGTGGAAGAACTAAAGGGTTTGGGATAAGGGTCTATGTTACAGAATTTCCAATTACTCATTCCTTTGGTCTCTTCCCAGATGCCGAGCAACTCCGCCTCCCACCTTCCAACAGGCGCGCTCCCGGCCCCTCGGGACGCGGCCGCCGTCGGCGAGTCTGGCTGTCCTCGCGTCGTGCCTGGGTGCCAGCCTCCCGGGGCGAATGAGGGACACGTTTATCAGTCCCGCGGGGAGAGGAGTGGGGGCTCGACTCGGATTTCCTCCTCGGGCAAGACACGGCCATTCCCCCACCACCTCCATGGACTTACAGAGTCCAGGGGGAAATGAACGCTGGTTCTCTTCTTTCTTTACCGGTCTCTGCCTTAGGAATCATCTACAGTTTCCGAGTCCACGTGGGGGGCGGCAGGACAGGACAAGTCACAGCCCCACCAATTCCCAGTGGCTGCTGCAGCTCGGCGTCCAGCTCTACAATTCTTGAAAGGTGATCTCACAGCCTCTGCTGCTGAGGTCCTACTGTGAACTTTCTTTTTCTATTGAAACTAAGGCATTTACTCACCTTTGCTTCTCAACAGTTCAGGCACCGCTAGACATCTGTCTTAAACTTTCTTGTATGTTTTCTGCCTATTCTTGAGTTATACTAATCTCCACCGATTTCTTTTTGGGATGAAGTACTGGAATGTTAAATCACCACTCAAGTGCTGCATTCTAAGGGGTGTTGGAAAGAGCTATGTATTTGAGATGACCTGCTGCATCTAATTAATGTACAGGGTCGTGAGTGACATGATTACCAGACTCCACAGATAAACTGTGGCCTCTGTGAGCTAACCAGACGCTGTTGGCCATGACTTGTTAAGTGAATAAAGCTTTGCTGTGGGCCAGGCGGGGTGGCTCACGCCTGTAATCCCAGCACTTTGGGAGGCCAAGGCAGGTGGATCACCTGAGGTCAGGAGTTCAAGACCAGCCTAACCAACATGGTGAAACCCCGTCTCTACTAAAAATACAAAATTAGCCGGGCGTGGTGGCACATGCCTGTAATCCCAGCTACTTGGGAGACTGAGGCAGGAGAATCGCTTGAACCTGGGAGGTGGAGGTTGCAGTGAGCCGAGATCCCACCACTGCACTCCAGCCTGGGCAAAAAGAGTGAAAATCCGTCTCAAAAAATAAAAACTAAAAACGTTTCCTGTGTTCCTACTCTACTAAATGAAGCCATTGGTCTATTTTGTTTCTAATATTCTTTGATGGTGGTGTTGGACCTTTTGATTTGCAGATGAAAGAAAGAGAAGTCCCTAAGCAGAAACTACAAGGGCCAAGCAGAAGATTATACCATGTGAGGACATCATCTGTCCCTGCACTCTAAACGGAAGATCATGCAAATAGTGGACTGAAGTCATCCCAGCCTTCAAAAGAGCCACCGTCGGGGGGGAAATAACAGAAAGGGATAAAAAGCTGTCTTTCGTAACCCAATCTGTATCTTTCTGTGTGACTTCCCTATCCTGCCTGTCCTAACGCCCTCTCAGCCGTAAACACTCATAGAGTAGAAACAGAGCATAGAAATGAAGAAGAGGAAGAGAGGGAAAAAATGGAGGAAACGCACAAGTTGTGTGTGTCTACAACTAGCAGAGAACAACTCCAACGTGTCTCTGATACAGGTAAATCTCAGACTTGAAAGTGCGTTGAGCTGATCAAGTCAATCTGTTTTTTCTGTCAAATCAAAGTTATACTAGGAAGTTGTCCAAGAGTATAAGGACCAACTTTTCATTGAGATGACCACAGTACTATATTTAATCAGCTATCAATAGCATGTATCGGTAAATAAATTTCATTCTGAGCATCTGTTACAAGCTAGGCATTGTGCAAAAATACTGAGGATTCGTGAGTGAGCCCACACTGACACGGGGCCTGTGTTTGGAGGGCTTCCAGGCACTGCCATGCAATGAGGGGTGTTAGAGTTCCTGGACAGTCAACTAAGGGAGCTAATGTTTATTGCACATCTTTCTCCAGACACAAGCCCATGTATGTTTGTGTGGGCCTGCCCTGGGAAGACAGAAAATTCTTGACTTTCAGAAGGTTACTTCCCTCTTTTGTATTTTTATTTATTTATTTGGGGAAAAGGGTCTCACTCTGTCACCCATGCTGGAGTCCAGTGGCGTGATCATGGCTCACTGCAGCTCCCAGGCTCAAGCAATCCTCCCACCGTAGCCTCCCGCGTAGCTGAGACCACAGGTGTGTGCCATCACACTCAGCTAATTTTTTGAATTTTTGGTAGAAATGGGATCTCACCATGTTGCCCAGGCTGGTCTTGAGTGCTTAATCTCAAGCCATCCTCCTGCCTTGGCTTTTTAAAGTGCTGGGATTTCAGGCACGAGCCACTGTGCCTGGCCTATTATTCTCTTCTTTTACTTTTTTGGTTTTTTTTTTTCCCTTGAGATGGAGTCTTGCTCTCTCATTCAGGCTGGAGTACAGTGGTGCAATCATGGCTCACTGCAGCCTTGATATCCCTGGGCTCAAGCAATCCTCCTGCCTCAGACTTCTGAATAGCTGGGACTACAGGCGCACACCACCATACCTGGCTGACTTTTTGTACGCCATCATAGCTCACTATAGCCTGCAACTCCTGGGCTCAAGTGATCCTCCTACTTCAGTCTTCTAAGCAGCTAGGAGTACAGATACACACCACCATGCCCAGCTAATTTTTTATTTTTTGTAGAGATAGGGGGGTCTCACTTGGTTGCCCAGGTTGATCTTGAACTCCTGGTTTCAAGCAGTCCTCCTGCCTTCGTCTCCTAAAGTCTTGGGATTACAGGTGTTAGCCACTGTGCCCAGCCGCAAGGTTATTTCTTGATTTGAGGCCAAGATCCCAAGAGACCCTCTTTCTTTTTCTCTTTTCCAGCTGGAGGAAGGGATGCAACAAACTCAGGAACCAAAATGCCTTGCACAAGAAACAAGACAGAGGGAAGCTTCTGGAGGATAGAGAGCTTCTGGAGGATAGAGAGCTTCTGGAGGATAGAGAGCTTCAGCACATTAAGAAACAGACTAATTGGGCAGGACTTCTGATCCCTGCCGTGAACAATGATGTGGATATGCTGCCAGAAAGCTGCAGGTATGAACTGTTTCCATGCTGCCAACTACCTTAAATGAGCACTTGAAAACTATGTTTTCTATAACAATCTGAAGGAATTTCTTCTGCTTTGGAAACAAGTGTCCCATAGTAACTTGGGACACACACCCTTGATTGTGTGACCAACTTACCTAAAGCAAAAATTCAAGGAAGAACTACTTCATTATGAATGGGTCATTCATACAATCCATTCTCTCATTCACTTGTGGATCATGACATAAGCTGTTCATCAGGCTCTGTGCGTGCTTAGGGACGGTTGTCTTGGAAGTGGTGAGCCTCTCCACCCCTCCATTGCCTGTTGGAAAAGGAGGGTGACTGTCACTGAGGCAGCAGGCAAATACATTTCCCCCAGCCAACTGCGCAGGGACATTTGATCAAGATGAACTGATTTGCATCTAGGATGTGGTCAAGAATCATGAGATTAGCCTGGGCTTTCCGCCCTTCTGATCCCTCATCCGTTTTTTTGTTTTGTTTTGTTTTGTTTTGTTTTTGGATCTACGGTCTTGCTCTGTCACCCAGGCTGAAATGCAGTGGTGCTACCATGGCTCCCTGCAGCCTCCACCTCTCAGGCTCAAGCAATCCTCCTACCTCAGCCTCCTGAATAGCTGGGACTACAGGCACATGCCACCTCATCTGGCTAATTTTTTTCATTTTTTTTGTAGAGATGGGTGTCTCACTATGTTGTCAGGCTGGTCTTGGACTCGTGCGCTCAGGCGACCCTCCTGCCTCGGCTCTTTACTTTCTGGAGTTCAAAAAAACTGTTCCCTGGATTTCTAGTGTACTTTTAGGTATCTTTATTGCTTCCTAGTTCTGCTTAGTTAATGATGGAAAAAGAAAGTTCTTGAAGACTAGATATCTTGAATAGACATCCTTCATTCTTTTAAAAACAATGCAGTTTAATAGGGAAAGAGAAATATCCCCCAGAAAAAATGAACTGGCTGCAGCATCTGGCCTGTTCTGTGTTCTGGAATGCCAGGGGTGGGCGATACAGTTTTGTGTAGCTCCATTTGAAATAGGCATTGTGTTGGAGAGGGACCTTCAGAACAATTTTTTTTCTTTTCTTTTTGAGATAGTGTCTGGGTCTGTCACCCAGGCTGGAGTGCAGTGGTACAATCAGGGCTCACTGCAGCCTTGACCTCTTGGGCTCAGGTGATCCTCCCACCTCAGCCTCCTGAGTAGCTGGGACTACAGGTGCTCACTACCATACCGAGCTAGTTTTTGTATTTTCAGTAGAGACAGGGTTTCCCCATGTTGCCCAGGCAGGTCTGGAACTCCTGAGATCAAGCAATTCACCTGCTTCGACCTCCCAAGTGCTGGGATTATAGGCACGAGCCACTGCACCAGGCCCAGAACAAATTCAGTGAGACTCCAGACTTCAACATTTATAAATAACAGCTGTTTTCTTGTCAAAGGCTTTGACCAAACAAAGCAAATCAAAACAAAGAACACTTGCCCTCTTCAGTTTTTCTTAACTTACTTATTTGTGAATATCTCCTTTGCTATACAAAGCTAAGGAGTCAAAAATCTCCTTATCCTTTGAACCTGAGACAGACCTTATCAACCGACTGATTAGATGACACTCTTAACGACTATGGCCGTTATTTTAATCATCTTTCGTGAGAGATGCCAGGAGGAAATGTTTCTACGTTGATTAGGGGCGTGTGCCTTAATACATTGTACACTATCACCTGACAGTTTCAAAACTGAAAAATTGAGATCACATGGAAAAAAAGGGTTTTCGGAATTCATGCAGTAGCGTTAGTGTACTGTTCAAAATACGGCACCCTCACCCCACTTAGCTGAATGATCCTGGACAAGCAATACACCCTTCTATGCTCCATGTTCTCCTCTGAAAATTGGAATCACTCATCTGGCTGTGGGGAGGATTCATTGGATTGCCAGATGTAAACTGTTAGCATCGTGCCTGGCACTCAGTGAAAGGAGGATGAATATTCACCATTGTTATTGACATACCCACATCAGTAACAATAACAAATTTGGAGTAAGGTTCAGGGGCTGTATCATTCTTTTTGTTTTCCAGTCAACATGGAAGCTGACCATCTACTGCAGTTCCTTCCAAACATGAAGTGTAAAGAGTGCATGTGTATAACTCAATCAGAATAGCCCTCAGTGTGATTGTCCAGAATATAATACTGCGCTCTGGGGGCTCACACCTGTAGTCCCAGCACTTTGAGAGGTCAAGGAGAGCAGATCACCTCGGGGCAGGAGTTCAAGACCAGCCCGGCCAACATAGCAAAACCCATCTCTAATCAAAATGCAAAAAATTAACTGGGTGTGGTGGCAGGCGCCTGTAGTCCCAGCTACTCTGGAGAATTGTTTGAACCTGGGAGGTGGAGGTTGCAGTGAGCCGAGATGGTGCCACAGCATTCCAGCCTGGGTGACAGAAGAAGACTTTGTCTAGAAAAATAAGAATACTGACTTCTAGCCCAGTTTTCTTTCTGCTGCTCCCCAGAGAAAGCATGTAGCTCAGCTTATTGTTTAGAAAATTTATCCTCTATACAGCAAAGGAATTTATTTTAGAACAAGTCAATGAGCTCTTTGAGAGATTAATAATGCTGCATAAATAAATTCAGATCATTGGGCAATTCAACAGTGAAGATCTTCCTCAAAAAGATGAAATCAGTTACTCCCATATCCCTTAATTTTTTTCAGATGTTTCTTAGATCTAAGAATACTTTCTACAGTTAACAGTATGCCATACACTGCATTTGAGATGTCATCGCTGACACACTTATGGTATGGTTTTGAACACATTTTTTTCATCATAAGAAATAACTGACAAAAATAGGCTCTTAGAATTTTTTTGCGTGTCTCTTTCCAAGAGAGCTATAATAGCATAGGCAATAATGTCTTCATTTACATGAGCCACATCAAACTATGTTGTAGTTCATCGTTTATTTATGGAATGTGAGTTGATTGTTCTGGAATCTAAATAGGCAAAATGTATTTGGTGATTCTGAAATAAAGTATTAAATTTTAGCACAATCTTGGTCTATACTCAGAATAGGATGGACTAGTCATGAACAAGTTAACTCTTTCTAACATTTCAGACTGGGCAATTCTAAACAATGTTTATTTAAGTACAGTCAGTTCTCTTTATTTGCAGTATTTACGTTTTATAAAGTTGCCGTGAACACCGAATTAGCAAATATCGAACAATTGCTTCTAGGAGAAATACAGCATTAGGTTCTTACAAGCCTCTGGCCAAAAAGTGCTTTTGTCAATCAAGCAATACAGAACTTTGTTTTATGTGTGTTTTTATTTAAAGATACCTAATTTAATATATCTTTTTGATTAACACTGAACTCGTGGCCAACGCAACTATAACTCATGTGGAAATGATGCTTCACACACACACACACACATTTTCTCCATAAGGCACATCATAGCCTTCTTGTGCAAGAACATTACACAGTCCTTCAGCACTATGCCTGGGAGCCATTTTAAACAGTGGAGTTGTTACCGGCGATGAATCTGTATCTGGAGGGGGTCTGCAGCAACCTCAATTCTTGCCTCCTCAGAAGAAAGGATTCAACTAAGGGGCATAAGGCAGAAGGAGAGGCTCTGCCTTCCCCAGCCCACTGACTCAAATTTTAATCTCTTTTGGCAACAGCCTCACAGACACACCCAGGATCAACACCGAGCCTCAAATATGCTAAGATTGCCCTGAGTGAGAGTTTTATCTCCTGTAGAGAAAGAGCTGAAATTCTGGAAAAACAGACACAAGCTCTTATCATGCAAGTGGCTGACCTGCAATGAAAGGTGCATGCACAGCCTTGCCAGGTGTCTACTGTTAAAGTGAGGGCATTGATTGGAAAAGAATGGGACCCTGCAACTTGGAATGAGGATGTGTGGGAGGACACTTCATCTCGTGGGCACAATCTCACCAGCTGCTGGCTATTATAGCAGGCAGAAAAACGTGAAACGGAGAGACGGGCCTAGCCTCCCAGCCTACATCTTTCTCTCGTGCTGGACGCTTCCTGCCCTCGTACATCGGACTCCAAGTTCTTCAGTTTTGAGACTCAGACTGGCTCTCCTTGTTCCTCAGCTTGCAGACAGCCTGTTGCAGGACCCTGTGATCATGTAAGTTAATACTTAATCAAATACATATATTATTATATATAGTTCTGTCCCTCTAGGGAACTGTCGCTAATACAGAAGGTCATATTGCAGTTAAACTCTGCCATCTTGTCTTGTGGTCATGCTTGAGCCCACTCACCCAACTCCTGAGATCTTATCCGGAAGCTGCTGAGCACCACCTTCAGGTGTTGTCTGTCTATTGGGAGCCTGCCCTTCCCTGGCTCTGGCTGAGACCAATTATTATTTTAGAGAGACAATTAACAACTGCAGAACCATCACCTGATGGTCGCCGGACATTCCTGGTGTGTGTTGGGGGGCACCGCAGGGGAGCTCTCTCCTGCCCTGCTCGTGCCCGACTGACTACTGTAGCAAAATCACCAACAAAAAGCACAAAATGCAAAAAATATAGTACTGAATTTACCGTGAAAGGATGCTTATCTACAGGTGTGAGCTGAAACAAGAAGGCAGGGTGTGGTTTCCTTATACATTGCTGGGAACACATACATCAGGCAACACATTTTTCACCGCTGTGTGCATATCCACAAATGACCATGAAAGTGCCATAAATGTCACTCTTGAGGCTACAGATTTCAGTAAGTGAATTCACAAATAAAGAATCCAAGAATAATGAGAATTAATTATATTTCAACTGTCAGGGAATAATAAGTAAATGCCACCTGGGGGTGGGTGAGGTGAAGAAAAGTTCTTGGAATTTTGTGGCCGTCAAAAGATTTCTTTATTCATTGAGAATATTGAG